ACACATACATATATATATATATATATATATATATATATATACAGGGTTTAAATTGGGCCCGGAGCCCCCCGGGGTTTCAGCCCCGGCACATTGACTCCGGGGCTTGACATTAACGCTTCATTAACGCCAGACAAGTAAGCATGCTGAGGTAAAAAAAAATAATCTAAATGAAAAGTTTTTATATTTAAAATACAGTTAGTAAGGCAACATCACACAACGTTTTCACCAATACGAAATGTTTAATAGTTCTATAAACAGTTCAATAAGCAAGTACAATAATATTAGGTCACTTACATTTTAGGCAGAAACAGCGCATCTCACAGCAACCAGCCGATTCATTGCTGAATGATTCCGTGTTCTGAACGAATCGGTTGAGTCAAAGTTTCATTAGCCCATGCATAAACATCTGATGAATCAGCCGTTTGAACGAATCACTTGAACGAACAACTCAGTGACTCACTCGTTAAACGCTCACTACTGGCGTTTTAATTTAGTTTAAAAGTATAACTTCTTCCATCATTTCTTGTTTGTATATTCCAAAAAAATATTTAAAACAATCTCATAACATTATTCAATGCAATTTCATTTTTTTCTGTGTAAATGATTTAATTTGATAACGTAGAGATAACAATAATCACATTATTTTAATTGAAATTATAGATTAAATGTAAGAATTTGAAATGAAAGATGAAGTATTAATGAGGTTAGTGGAGAAATGCCCTATATAAAGGTAAAAAATGCCCTTGGATTAAATATAAAAAACATGCAGATTTATATGTCACAGCTGATAGAAAACTGATAAGAATATTGCTTCAGAATAAATCATATTTTATGATTTTTATTTATATATATATATATATATATTAGTGGTGTCAAACGTGTACTGTGTACTGTGTATATTCATTATGCATATATAAATACACACAAATGCATATATTTAAGAAAAGATTAATATTTCTACATTAAATATATTTGTATATAATATAAATTATATAAATATAAATATATACATGTAGGGCCTAAATATTTTCAAAATATATACTGTATGTGTGTGTATTTATATATACATAATAAATATACACAGTACACACACACATATTACGCAAAAACTTTTATTTTGGATGTGATTAATCGCAATTAATAATTTGACAGCGCTATATATATATTATAAATTGGGAGTAACTAAATAAATTAATTAAGAGAGAAAGAAAAATAATGTAGTGATTAATCATGGTTTTTACTGGTTAACATTTAATCACGTTTTATTAGGGCTGACAAAGATAACCTTACCTTAACCCAACCTCGCTTTAAAACCTCACATAAAAACCATAAAACAAAACGAGAGATAAAAGCACATCTAAGACATTTGTTTTGACGAATGTAAAATATCAAGGTTCTATTAACTCATATTATTAAGGTTATGTCATGACCACGCCTCCTCACACTAGTGCTGCGAGTCAGTTAACGACAACATGTAGTCACCGTGATTGTGTGTGAATTCATCATGCTGTTTATGAGGAGTGTAAGTTAATTTTACTCCCACGGCAGCCGCGATTGCAGCAGAGGAGAGACGATGGTGGCGCTAATATGGTGAGTGCAATAATTTAAAGAGATGCTTTGGAAGTGTAAGTATGGCCCTCATAACTGTGAAAAGAGAGCACCGCTAACGTTATATAAACATTATCCCCCAGATTCACAGGCCTGTTCAATGCATGTTCAAGCTGTCTTAACTGAAAATATCTTGTACTGACACATCTTAAAATATGTCAGTGCCATTGTCGTGTCTCAAGATGCACACGAGTAAAGTTCTTAAGGCATTTTTATAAAAGTTATTTAAATATCCTAATTTAACCAAGGCCTAGTCCTGGTTTAAGCTAAGTCCTGTCTGTGAAACCCTGTCTCTATGTTCAAACATGGAAGTTATACAAGAACGAAACAATGTACATACATTTAAATTACTTTATGCATTAAAATGTTTATGCCACCTCACAGCAAAACTCTAGAGCAGCAGTATGTCATGTGGGTTAACTGAGACCTGTTCTGAGGAGGATCACTTTATTGACTGGCACACTGCACAATTAAATGTAAACCCTTAAGTCAGATGCCCTTATAAAGACTGTAACTTTAATGTTTTCTCTTCACAGAAAAGTTGTCAAGACAAGCCTGACATCACCCAAAGGCCAGCTCTTTTTACAGTAAGCCAGGTACGTATAAGTGCATTCATCCCATGTTGTATTTGCCATAATTACAAGATTCCAACTTGGAAAAAGAATTCATGTCCTTGTAAAACTCATAATTACCATCTGTAATCTGGGAATTTTCTGAGAGCTTCTACTTGTATCACGTGACCACTGTACCTGACTGCTGCAGATAAATTAAGGCATGGATAGTGTTGCCATAGAAACGCACAGTTCCCGGTCCAAGGACATGAACAGCTCTAAGTAGAACATGGTGTGAACGCAGCATATGATCTTGAGTATTTGACAAACAGCATTATCTAACTGACTTGATAATGTCTTTATCGATCTGTTTCTTCCTCTGTTAGGAGGCAGCTGACAAGACAGACTCCAGTAAGAATCCTCAGCATTGATCGAGCAAGTCCACATCTAACCCATCTAGAGTGGGAATCATCTTGGAAGAAAACTTTGTAATGGATGAACCGACCGATCTCAGGCCTTCAATGTCCATTTTTTCAGACTGATTTATGCTGTGCACCTGGATGAAATGTATGAAAAGCACTTTATATTTTATTCAGCAGGTAATGCTCAGCCTCGGAAAAGGTGAGTTAGCACCTAAAATTCAGTACTGCCAATATTGTGAACTCCGAGTGGAATAAAACCATATAGTTTTGATGCCGTTTGTTGTGATTCTGAGAGAAACTGTTTTATGTTAGTTTGTTAAACTAGTTTTTCATGTTGTATGGGGAAATGTTTTCAGATTTTAAAAAAATCATGTTTTGTCGTGTTTTTAAATTAATATTTGGAATTGAATTAAAATAAAACAGAAAATTGCATGAATGTTCCTTTATTTGTTTGCTTTTTTCTTAGTTTGCTAGTTTAACTAATTGGAAAAATTTAACGTGGAAATTACACTGAAAAAAATGTTTCATTCAACCAATTAAAAAAAATTTAGGGTAATGATTCACATCTATATTTTTTTAACTTGAGCCAATGAAAAATAAATAACTTGCCCTAAACAATATTTTCTATGTCTATGAAAACTATAAAAATAAATCTCTTAAATGAGAATTTTTGTTTTGATTAAATCTATATATTTTTTGTTTGGATCAAAAATAGAATTTAAATTAATTGACTTTCTTCAACAAGAAAAATATACTTTGTGCCAGGTTTTATAAAATGTTTTTTATAGACATAGAAAATATTGTTTGGGGCAAGTTATTTATTTTTCATTGGCTCAAGGTAAAAAAATATAGATGTGAATCATTACCCTAATGTTTTTTAATTGGATGAATAAAACTTTTTTTTTTTCAGTGTA